GGGGGGGGGGGGGGGGGGGGATGGCATCGCGTGGTTTAACCCGGTGGGTGGGTGTGAGGTGGAGGAGGAGGATTCTGGGGCCAAAAGCAAGGAATATGATGAACAGGGTTTATCGACAGTGAGAAGAGGAGATAAAAAGAAAAGAAATCAACCAGAGACAGATTTCTCGGAGCAGCCATCCCATTTTGGCAAGTTATCCTTGTCTGCGTCTCATCGCCGTACTGTAGTTTTGGGTACTGATACTGGTGATCAATGATGGTGAGTACAAAGTGTACTCAAATGTAACCTGTTGACTCCTCCGGCATAAACCAAGTTGCAACTAATAGTCTGCTGAATGCTGAATGCGACATGGCATGGTATTATCAAACTCAAGGGGGTCAACTTCATCACACACGGCACGCTTGTGTATCAAGACGCATCCGGACAAGATGGAGCTTGTTCCGACCTGCCTCTTTCATGCACACACAACGATAACAAGAGGGGTTTTTTTTTTTTGCTTATTGTTACTATTGTTACTATTGTTACCAGTTTACTCTCGTCTCTTGCGTGTGGCTGCAGCCCAGCGCGTGGCGGCGCACAGGGGGGGGGGACAAGGGGGGGGTACTTGTGAATTGAAGGCCATGGTGGGTAATAAAGGAGAGGAAAAAAGCCCAGAGGGCCAGCTTTGAAATGAGAGTGAGACAGTGTTGACTCAAAAGGCCAAAAATAGAGTAAAAGTTGTGAAAAGAACGGGTAAAATATGCTGACTGTGCGTAAAGAGCTGAAAGATGAGTATTGCGAAGAAAACCAAATTGTGAAAGATGAAGTGAAGAAAAATGAGGCGAAATAGAAATCGGGGAATTTCATCGGCAGAGTGAGATGGGATCTGTCTGGGGGCTCTTTTAATGCTGAGGGGGGATCGCATCGCAGATAGAGGAGATGCCGCATCGACTGGGAGTGAGTTGGCAAAGCGCAAGCAAGGATCTCTCTCTCTCTCTCGTCGTAATTTTTCCTTTTTACGAATAAGCGGGCATTGGCATTTGTGTCCCCCAGATTTATTTTTACCAGAAACATGCATGGTCGTTTTTAATCTATTCCTTCCTCCTCAGCAGGGG